AGCTCAGGTTGTGTTTCAACAATTTGTAAAGAACCTTTCTCAAGAGGTTCTTCATTTGTAGGAATCTCAGATTCCTTATCCTTCATGATAAGGTTCTCAAATAATTCTACATCACGGGATTCAATAATTACATTAGACTCCAACTTCAAAAGTCTATATACTTTAACGTTAGGTGTATAGCCTCCAAAATCACATTTGATCCCTCGATGACCAAACTTAGTCCTTTTCGGATCCATGTTCTTATAACAATCTACACACACCACACTCTAAAATAAGTGATATTTGGCGCTCTGTCTTTCCATACCTCATATTAAGAAATATTGATTTTCTTTAAAGGAATTATATTCAATATATGACAAGAAGAAAACAAAACTTCACCCCACAAATTAAATGACAATTCGGAGTTCATTAACATGGCATTATCATCCATTATATTTACGATTCTTTCTTTCGGCTAGACCATTTTGTTTTGGCGTACGAGATGCTGAACGTTCATGTATAATACTATATTCTTCATAATATGCATCAAATTCAATTGAAAAGTATTCACAACCTCTATCACTCCTAAGGACTTTAATACTTATACTTAATTGTTTTTTACTTCTGCTTTAAAAAATTAAATGCATTATAAGAATCATCTTTATGCTTTAAAATATATAATCATGCGTGAATCTAGAGCAATCATCAATAAAAGTAATCAAATATTTATTTTCCCGATAGGTTAACATGCCATTAAATTTACACAAATTTAAATACACAAGATAAAGCAAGTTGATCTTTCTTTCTATATTATGGAATTTTTTCTTAATCATCTTTGATTTAACACATATTTCATATTTTTTTAATTTATTATTATCACATGAAATTAAACCAAATTTAATTAATCTTTTCAAAGTGCTAATACCAATATGGGTTAATCTACTATGCCTTAAAGAAACGGATTCAAGCATATAAACAGAAATATAAACTTTATTGGTAATATTGTCAGTATTACAAAACTACACAATAATGTGTCAAGATTAAATTTCTCGATTTATTTACAGATTTAATACTCGATTTTACAAAAAGATCCCCACAAACAAGGTTTGTATTCATGTCAGGAGAATGAAGTACATTGCCAAGAGTAACTTTCTTTCCAAAAGTGAAGTTGACTTGCAAGGTTCCTATTCCAACGACCAAAAATTGTCCTTCATTTCTCATTTGAACCTCTTGCCCATGGGTGACTTCAAAATAGGTTTTGAATGTTATTTTATCATAGGAAACATGGACAATAGCACAAGTATCATACCACCATCCTTGTACCTTACCTATGATCTCCATAATTTAGCTCATAGTAGCAATTATATTATCATCTACATGAACAAAATTTGTCTCATTTTTGGACTTGTTGTGTCTATAATCGCGAGCATAATGGAAGTTTTTGCCACACACACATAACATCTTCCTTTGGGTCCCTTTGATCTTCCATATTTCTTGAACTTATTTTGTTCCTTCTTAAGTCTAAGATAGTTCTTCTTACCATCATGTTTCTTCTTGGCTTTTGCGCTCACTGTATTTGCCTTAGAATACCCAACAACCTTAGATTTCTCTCTATCTTTTGATTCCTCCTCAATTCAAAGATGTTTTTAGATTTGCTCCAATGAGAAGTCATCAAAATTGTGAAGCAACTTATTCCCATATCTTTTCCCAAAAGATGGCATTTTTGTAACAATTGCACCAACTTAGAAAACTTTAGGAATATCGATCTTCACAACCTTAAGTTAATTTACAAGAACTTGTAACTCGTGAACTTGTGCAAGTATATGCTTTGAATCCAACATTTTTAGTACCTTCTTCCTCGGCACAAAATTTGAACTCGAGTATCTTCCATATTTCTATTGTTGATTGGTTATTTTTGTATAGATCATAAAGACAATTAGATAGTGTGTTCAGAATGTGTCCACGGCAAAGCAGTTCATCCTCCTTTCGTTTCTTATTTTCTACCTTGATTTCCTCATAATCATTGTCTTGCGGTTTTGGAATCGGTGACAAATTAAGATCCAAGACATATAAAATTTTTAAGGCATTCAAGATAAAGATCGTCTTGTCTTGCCAGCGAGTGAATTTTGTCCCATTGAAACAATCCAAATTCACAAGGTCTTGGTTCATAACTTTGAAGCTTGAAAGAGAAGCCTTGTTTTCCATTATTTGAGATACTATGAGACAGTTAGATAATGATTGTAAGTTAAGTAGATCATGGCTAGAACCGTGCATATGATCACTTTCCTAATAGTATTTTAAGAACATCCTATTTTATCTCGGAGTCTACACGTAGGAATACTCAAGATAATTTAGTCTACTTTAAACTTGCACAAGACAAATGCAAATTTGAATGTAAGAAAGAAAAAAAATCTGGAAGTTAAACAAGTAAGAGGAGAGTTCAAATTGGTATGTTTTTCAAAATCTGAAACAATTTATTTATAGACTAAATGATGTTGTTTCACAAGGTTGTGACCCTTTATAAAGCACATCCTTTCACCAAATGTTGCAACTCTTTACTAATTATTGCGACCCTTTATAAAGCATACAATTTCACTAAGTATTGCAACTCTTTACTATGTATTGTGACCCTTGATAAAGCACACTCTTTCATCATGTTTTGAAACTATTTATTAAGCATTGTGACCCTTGCTAACACATGCTCTTTCACAAAGTATTGCAACTCTTTACTAAATATTACAACTCTTTACTCACTTGTAATAAGTCAAGTTATTGTTAAAACACAATAATGGTTATGTATTTAATTAATCTCTTTATTAATTAATAATTACAACAATTTTTAAAGCATTTATGACATGTTACCTCCACCAAACATATTCCCCACATCCTAGAGTCCTTCTCTGTCTCAATTGAATCAATAATTTTACTAATTTTATTTCTCGAGACAACTCTCATCAAGATACCCCTTAAATGGAACGCATATTCACTATAATCGTTGATGCGTGCAATAGGTGTATTAGTGATCATTCCATCAATATTTGATGATTCAAAAAATAAGTTTGCTAAGTTGGTAGCTATACAAGGAGTCAAGGACATTAGGTGCAGGGTCGCAGGTTCGAATCTGTAACATCCCACTTGTTCATCTTTAAATGGTGAACTTCAGCTACTAGGCCACATGACCCAAAATAAATGACAATATAAATTAATTATATATTATCAACCAATGACGATCATGTATCACGCCACATTACACTTTTATTTTCAAAAAAAGTTAATTGATTTTCTATTGGATGATAGTATAAAACTATTTTACATTGTCACTGCATATCAATTAATTCCTTATCTTTTAAGTATATTACAAAACTAGTGGGATACTCCTGCGTTCACATGGGTATTGGTGTGGTACGCTGTAATGTCACCATTTTGTATGATTATTAAAAAAAATTGAATTGAATGCATCATTAATGAAAAACGTTGTTATAGAAATTAAATACATAATTGAAAGAATAATTGAATGGATAATTAATTGACTTTTCTACGTTAATATTCAATATTTTGATCAGTAACTTCATGTTCCCGTTAATATTTAAAATTTTAATCAGTAACTTCATGTTCCCGTTAATATTCAATATTTTGATCAGTAACTTCGTGTTCCTGTTAATATTTAAAATTTTGATCAGTAACTCTGTGTTCCCATTAATATTCAATATTTTAATCAGTAATTTCGTGTTCTCGTTAATATTCAATATTTTGATCAGTAACTTCGTGTTCCCGTTAATATTCAATATTTTGATCAGTAACTTTGGGTTCCCGTTAATATTCAATATTTTGATCAGTAACTTCGTGTTCCCGGTAATATTTAAAATTTTGATCAATAATTTCGTGTTCCCGTTAATATTCAAAATTTTGATCAATAACTTCATTTTCCCATTAATATTCAATATTTGTATCAATAACTTCATATTTCCGGTAATATTCAATATTTTGATTAATAATTTCATGTTCTCATTAATATTTAATATTTTTATCAGTAACTTCATGTTCCCGTTAATATTCAATATTTTTATCAGTAACTTCATGTTCTCTAATATGGTTGAAAGTCTTATTTTATAATTTATTTAAATTACTTAGTAATTGAAGAAAATTAATTATAATAATTTATTTAAAATTTTTAATTTTTAATTTAATAAAACAATTATGTAATATTTGCATGTGGTAGTCATATGATTGTTCAACTGTGCAGAAAACAAATTGATGATGGCTTTTAGAGATTAAAAATCAAATTTGATATATTTAAAGATAAAATAATATATAATAAGAATGGGATATGTGGCACGAAGGTTTGAATCTATGCATGCACGATTAATATCTCTGCACACCTACTTGTAGAATATCAAACACTTTTTGGATCTTTGAACATGATATGTACCAAAGTTTACTTCCATTAAAGAGAGATATGAAAAACCCATGAAGTTAGATTGTTTCTATACCTCACATACCATTCATAATATTCATATATTGTGATATCTCAATAGTGCAATTCTCTTAGCAAGAAATTCTCTTTTTCATATTCAAACAAAACACTTATGAACCGAATCTTCACTTTTTTGTACTAACTAAATACATTGTTCCAAAATCAAGGAACATTTGAATTATTAGTTGAACCATAAGCAAGCATCATATGATACATCATATAATATGATAAATGATTTTAATATAACAAACTATAGGTATGAAATTGAGTTGTTGCATTTGAGCAAACACATTTATAAAATACATTGGAAATTATTGATTGTACTTCAATTTGGAAATCCTGTTGCAAGCATAACCCTTACATCATTTCGTAATATTTTGCCAGAAGGTGACTTGGGAATAGCATCAATGAAGAATACTCGATTTATACTTTTGTAAAACACCACCTAAATACACATCAATTAATACATAATATTAGATATATAGATCTTTGCTAAAGCTGTCTCTTCATTTTTGCAGTATATTCTCATTGGTGCTTTGGGTAAAATTTATGGTGGAACTCCAATTGATAGAAGACCACTCAAACAGAAATTCAATCTGTAATAAAAGGTAGCAAAACCAAGTTAACACTTAACACATCATTGTAATAGAACTCACAATTCTCATAGCATTCCCAAAGCTTCTTTGAGAAACAACTGCTCTAATTATGCCAACAAAATATATCATTGCCAGTAAACATTATCACAGAAGCCAAATATCACATCCAAAAACATGTTTTCAAGCAATATGATCTAACTTTGTATGAATTTCACTATGAGACTAAGCATGAGATTTACATTGCAAGATAAAAAAATTCTAAATTCTAAATTGAAAGAAAATAATAAACATTAGCACAAGTGTTATCAAATAAGAATAACATTATATATTTATTAACATTTCAGCTATCAAAATGTGGAACAAAACAAATCACTTCAATCATCGTGCCACATGTATTTTTTATCAAGAAAACTATCCTCATAATTGAGCAATTCAGTGCGGAAGAAAACACAGTTCAGATCATTTTAAGTAAAGAACAATTAAAACATAGTTTGTATTCACAAGAAAATTTGGCTGGTTTTTAGCATCACGATATGCCTCGAGCGCGCTCATCTGCATATTACAACTTCCCTCATTACCGTAAGGATTTCTTCAATGCTTCCTGCCACACGCTTTATTCATATCACCATATCTCGAATACCTCGAAATTATGGTGTTCCACGTGACTTTATTCCTTTGTGGCATTTCATCGAACACTATACATGCATACAAGAAGGAAAATAAAATTAACAAATTGAACGTCTTTATAAATTAGAAGGTCTAAAAATTCAAAATCTAAATCTTGCATACAAGAAGAAAAATAAACCCAAATTCAACAATAAAATCACCCACAATAAAAAAAAATTGAAAATTTCTCTAAACTTAGGGTACCAAAACACCAACCATTTGCAGCAAAGAAAAAATCAAGTAGATAAAACAAACAAATGATGAAGAGGAAGAACTTTACAGATATTTCGTTGATGTAGTTAAGAAGGCGATTACGATACGAAGTGAAGAACGAAAGGTTGAAAAAGTAGAAGGTGATGTTGTAGTAGAGAAATGGAACTTGTAGAATTATCAAACCAACCACAAAATCAAAACCGCAACTTTCCTGTTATTGAACCCGTTGTCTTACATTCAACGAAATATTGAAACCCATAATGAACCAAAGCTTTGTAGTAATTCATAACTTTCACTGTTGACTTACTGGTATCAATCTAAAGAAGATGAATAAGAAAGAAGAAGAGGGGGGAGGAAGAATAAATGGAGAGAAGGTAGAAGAAGAGGATCGAGGTAGAAGCTGATGAGATTGAACATGTTGGGTAGAGCGTAGAAAGCAAATGTAGTGGTTCAATCTTACATAGAGTATCGATGTAACACCCCGTTTTTAATTTAAATTATGTAAATTACACAATTATTTGAATGTGGTATTTTTGGTGTGTTTTATGAACGATATTGTGTGTTGTTGTACTCTGATGAGAGATTCTTACCTTAGTTATTCTGAAATTAAGTTATTAATGGTGTATGACCAAAACCATAGAATTACGGGGATGTGGTGAGAAGATTGGTAATTATTTTATCATTATTATTATTAGAATAATAGGATAATTATTATTTTTATTTAATTAAATAACTATTTAATTGGGGAAAGACAAGATTGGAATTATGATTTAGTGGTCCTAAGATCAGTGTTGGAATAAAATAGAATTGAGAAGAGAGAAAAGAAAAACACAACCTAGAAAACAGAGAAAAATCATAGAAGAGAGGAGAAGAGAAAGAGGTTAGGGCATGAAGTTTCACCGTAAGAGAGTCAAGAATTGGAAAATCCAAGGTAAATGTGAGATTCTAACACTATAACGAGTTGTATAATAATGGGTCATGGTAGTGATTAGGTTTAATGATTTTGTATTCATGATTTCTCCTTATTTTGCTTTATGGGGTTTTATCCATTGATGAATTTCTTTGATGCACTTTATGTGTAATTGGTGAAATTCGATGATGTAAATTGAGTTGAAGTGATAGGCAATGTTGGTGAATAATTAGTATGATTAAAAGATAATGTTTTAATTGAAAAATTGGAAGTTTGAATTTTGAAACAATGAAATTCGTATTTTGAAAAGTTGCAGATTTTTGGGTCCTGCATCAGGTGTAATCGGTTACCCTCCTGGTAGTAACCGACTATCTTGTGCAATTTTGGACAAAATAGGCAAAAACGTGAAGGTGTAACCGGTTACTGTCTGGAAGGTAATCGGTTATCAAATTGGACATAAACGTGATATTTTGAGTTACAAGGATGTAACTGGTTACCCTCTTGGCAATAATCGGTTACCACGGGAGTTATTACCCTCCTGGCATAACTTTTGCCTCGGGTGTGCGTTTGACGCCTATAAAAAAAATTGGAACACAATAGATAATTATTTGACCGACATTGATGCATATATGTGTATTTTCTTGAGTAATGTGCTATGATTAATGCTGCGATTGAGTATGATGATGTTGTATGAATGGTTCATTTGTTTTACGTGACGTACTACATGATAATGATGATGACGACGACATGTATTGGCGTGACATTGATGGGTAGGAATATCAATGCACTTTACGTTGTTGCATGTCGATGTCGCATGCATTCATGATAAAAGCTTATGCTCTGTAAAATGGTATGTATTGGCGAGATATGGCATGTATTAGCGTGATGATGAGGGCTTATGCCCTGTTGCTGTCCTATTTGGCATTATGATGAGGGCTTATGCCCTGTTGGTACCACATACATTTGAGTCAGTGTCAGTCTTGTCATGAATTATGGCTTGATGCCTTTCTCATTGCATTTGATACTCTATATAATAATATCGGTAATTACAATTCATAATGACTAATTACAACTCATAATAACTAATTACAACTTATAATGGCAATTTCCTATTCTATGAATGTAAATTATTTACAATAAATGTGTTTGATTATTTCCTGATTAACATCCCCCCTCAAATTGATGCGGCTGGTCAAGGAGCATCAATTTGCTAATAAGAAACTGATGTCGTGGGCGTGGAACAGCCTTGGTAAGAATATTTGCAACCTGCAACTGAGTACTGATGTGAGGAAGTGATATTATTCGATTATCGTAGGCGTCACGTATTGAATGACAATCAACTTCGATATGTTTGGTGCGCTCATGAAAAACAGGATTTGCAACAATTTGAATGGCACTTGTATTGTCAGCATAAAGTGAAGTTGACTCTGTTTGGGGAAATCCAAGTTCAGCCAAAAGACCATGAAGCCAAAGTATTTCTGAACAAGCAACAGACATGGCACGATACTCTGATTCAGTAGAAGATTTAGAAACTCTTGCTTGCTTCTTACTTTTCCAAGAGATCAATGAAGAACCAAGAAACATGCACCAACCAGTAACAAATCGACGAGTATCAGGACACCCTGCCCAATCAGCACCACTATAAGCACTCAACTGAAGAGAAATTCCAACAGAAAAGAATAATCCGCGGTGAGAGGTTCCCTTTAAGTAGCTAATTATACGACGAACCGCAGCCAAGTAAAGATGACGAGGAGAATGCATGAATTGACTTACTTGTTGAACATCAAAAGATATGTCAGGGCGAGTAATAGTCAAATAGTTGAGGTTGCCGACAAGTTGTCAATACAATAAGGGATCAGGCAAAAGATCACCATCATCACGATGATATTTAACATTAACCTCAAGAGGAGTATCTACCGGGTTAGCCGATTCTAGACCGGCCATAGAAATCAAATTTGTAGCATACTTTTGTTGATGGAGAAAGATTCCCTTGGATGTAGAATGAACCTCAAGACCAAGAAAATAATGTAGATTACCCAAATCTTTCATGTGAAATGAGGCTTGTAACTGTTGCTTAAGTCGCTGAATGGAAGCATAATCCGAACCAGTAATAACCATATCATCAACATACAAAAGAAGCAGAACAATACCCGTAGATGTGCTATGAATAAATAAAGATGAATCATACTGACTTTGAATAAAGGAGAATCCAAGTAGAGTGGAGCGGAATTTCTCGTACCATGCTCTAGGTGCCTGTTTCAAACCATATAAGGAGCGTTTGAGCTTACACACGCCTTTAGATGACGAGAATAAGCCTTGAGGTGGAGTCATATAAATATCTTCTCTCAGGTCACCATGAAGAAAAGCATTCTTCACATACATTTGATGAAGAGTCCAACCACTAGAAGCAACTATAGAGATGATCGTGCGGACAATTGTCATTTTGGCAACCGGTGCAAATGTCTCATCATAATTAATTCCATATTTCTGCTTGTTTCCTAACGCAACCAAACGAGCCTTGTAACGGTTGAGGGACCCATCAGAATTTAATTTCACAGAATACACCCATTTGCAACCTATAGGTTTTACATCGGGAGGGCAAGAGACAATATCCCATGTGAAATTCTCTTGAAGAGCTTGAAGCTCTTCATTCATTGCTTTTATCCATCGCACATCCTTAACAGCCTGTGAGTAACAAGTAGGAATAGATATGCTAGAGAGTGTGGCAGTCAGAGAAGTATGTGAGGAATCATACCTGTCTGGTGAATATCTATCTGGTGCACGAGATATTCGACCAGAACGTCGTGGTTCAACCGGTACAGGATCAGGTGGCGGTTCAGCGTCGGGAAGGGGTGTGGGAACCTGTTGTCTGTGTTTTCTGACATATACATCACCTAGTTTATAACGTTCTATAGATTGAGGCATAATATAAAACTTAGGAGGAGTGACAATATCATTAATGACAGGAGAAACACAGGGAAACATAAACTGATTATCAAAAAATGTCACATTTCTAGAAATGCGAAAACGATGGTTAGTGACATCATAACATACAAATCCCTTATGAGAGTGACTATATCCCATAAATTCACATTGAACTGATTGTGCTCCAAGCTTATGCCTTTCAAAAGGAGGTAAGTGAACAAAACACACACACCCAAAAGTATGTAAAGCACTATAATCAGGATGAATTTTAAAAAGATGAAAGAAAGGAGAATTAAGTTCAATAACCGTAGAAGGAAGACGATTGATCAAGAAGACAGTTGTGGAAAGAGTTTCTACCCAAAATCGGGATGGTACTGAAGCTTGGAGAAGCAATGTGCGTGTTACATCAAGCAAATGACGATTCTTCCGTTCTGCAATACCATTTTGTTGAGGGGTATTGGGACAAGATCGTTGCGACAAGATGCCTTTTGTTGAAGGTATTCCTGAAACTTATGAGACATGTACTCACCACCAGAGTCAGAGCGAAATTTTTTAACACTTGCTTGAAATTGAGTTTCAACATATGTTAAAAATTTCTTAAACACAGAAAATACTTCAGATTTAGACCGAAGGAAATATATCCAAACAAAACGACTATAATCATCAATAAATGTGACAAAATATTTATAGTGGGAATGAGAAACTACAGGAGACATACCCCATACATCACTATGAATCATTTCAAAACAAGTGGAAGCACGATAAGCACCAGACGGAAAAGGAAGTGTTTTACTCTTAGCTAATTTGCAAACAGAACATGAAATAGAGGCATTAGAAACATTTTTATTTCCCAACAAACCATTTTTAAATAAATGGGACAAAACAACAGAGTTTGGATGACCTAATTTTCTATGCCAATCCTCATAAGAGTTCAAAAAATTATTACAAGCAAGAGATATATGATTAGAAATAAACTGGAGTGGAAACAGTCTTCCCACTTTAGGCCCCTTCGCGATCACTCTCCCCGACACCTGTTCCTGCACAAGACAACCATCACGAGAAAAGTTAACATCATAATTTTTATCTACCAATTGACCAACAAATAATAAATTAGACGTAAGTCCAAGTGATACAAGCACGTCCCGAAAATCATAGTTGATGTCGCTAATATCCGTAATAGATAAAGTATTACCATCAGCTATTTGAATTTTCCGATTACCATGATAAGAGTGTAAATTGTTCAAATACTCTGAAGAACCTGTCATGTGATTGGATGCACCCGAATCAAGAAACCATAGGCGAGAAACATTAGAAGACTTACCCTGAATTCCCAAGGCCGAGAGAGCGGAAAGTACCATTTGTTGAATCAATTCAGGTTGTATAGCACTATCGTTTGATGCCCCATTAGTGGAAGGACCAACCGCATGATTTGCATGGAATGCCTGTACTGAACGTTGTGTTGGTCGTGGAGGACGCGTGGGACACTGTTGGCTGAAGATTTTGATAATATTAGAAGCCAAGTGAATTGGAACGTTTCGATTGAAATGAAACAAAGCATCATGTTTCGAAGTAGCAGAAGCAGTGTTTCGAATAAGCATATCAAAGCTTGGAGCTTCGAGTGGCAATTATGGGAACATATCTAAAGAAGTCTCGAAATAACAACAAGGTTGTGTCTGAGAAGTGCGTTCGAAACGGAGAAGTACCAAAACATTTGAAATTCAAATGGAAGCGGTACATTCGAAGTTTGAATTTATGTGCTGGAGCATTTGGAGACACGTGGAAAGAAGAGAGAGGCATTGTTCTGCATGTTCTGAACGTGGCATAATCCTATAGTAAGACCGTTATGGTCGAATTAGTATAAATAGAAGTCTTAGTATTAGGATTTCGTGTGTCATATCTATTGTACTAAATACTCAGTAACATTCAAACTACCACATGGCAAGGTAAACGAATGCAAGAGCAATGTACGTATGATAGCACCACATGTTTATGATTTAATGAAAACCTTTTATCATTTCCAGCACTTTCCTTTACCTTTATGCCAAATACCATTTACAAGTTTTCTCATTCAAAGTCTTTTTACTTTGAAATCTCTTCATTAAAGCCTTACATTTCAATGCTTTCTTTACATTTCAAGCACTTTACATTTCAGAAAACTGTCATACTTTTCATGCCTTTATCTTCAAGTTTTATCCTTCGAACGCCTATTTTTACTTAGAGTCTGTGATCGGTGGATCTGGAACTGACTGTTTAACGCTGGTTCGCGAAATGTCGCGGTAAGCAAGAGTCGCCACCGTCTTTTATTTTCTCCAAATGGAAAGGACAAAAGCACAGAAAAATTCCTTAAAGAGATTGCTCTCGGTTCGGGAGGTAGGTTATAGAAAGGGAAGGTGTTAGCACCCTTTCTATCCATGGTTATCCATGGGCTCTTAGATACTTGCTCATTGTGTTTTCAAAATTGTTTGCTTTTCAATTGTGAGTGGGTTTGAAAAAGTTTCGTATAAAGTTTTCGGAATAACTCTTGTATCAGTCCTCAAGAGTGTTTGAAAAATTGTTTTTGAAGCTTTTTTTTGAAAATGTGTTGGTGTGAAAAGTATTTTTGATTTGTTTTGAAATTAGA